TGGATAGAATCAATCAGGGGGATTATGGGCAAGGGCTTGCAGGATCTGAACAAGGCAGTGGAAGATAGGGATTCTTGTCTCATCCACAGGGTCACCATGAGTCGGAACTGACTCGAGGGCAGCTAATAACAACAAACATCTCCCCTTAACCAACTGTTTCCATTAACATGTAAATACGTTTCATTTCATTTCATCTGTAGTACTGAATTTTCTTTGGATGTTCAGGCAAGTCTGGAAATTCCAATAAATGGAAACAGGGTATAGACACTGTCAGTAGCAGGCATATACACATCTATGTAAGTGATTCAGTAGGGGCAACAATACGCTATTGAAAGAATAAGCCATTGTTCTACCAGGATCATGTACATTGATGAATGGATGGAATGTTAAACTTTTAGAATGAAAAGTAATAAAAAAAAATGAGGATAAGAAAAATGTAATTATTACTTTCATTCACAAGGTCTACCACTCAGGTTTGCTACAAAAACAACAAAAATGTACAATGTAACTTTGAAGACTAGAATACCGTGAATAGATAATATCTACTCTGGAATTGCTATCGTTCTGATAAGCAAGGACCAATATCAAAGAGCTTCTTTCTAGTGCTGTTAATAAATAACATATACCAGAATTTAAGAAATGTTGTTGTGTGCCTTCAGGTCATTTCCGACTTGTGGAGACTCTTAGGCAACCCTATCACAGGCTTTTCTGGGGCTGAAAGTGTGTGTCTTGTCCAAGATCACCCAGTGGGTTTCCTTGGCCAAGTAGGGAATCAAACCCTGATCTCCAGAGTTGTAGTCCAACACTTAAACCACTAACCATGCTCAAGAATGCTAGGCAGTAAAACTACAATAATAATAAATGAAATAGTTTAGGAAGGAATTTGAGGCTACCACTTCACTATCCATAACAGCAGAGCTGACCCTGCCTTTTTTGCAGTGAGGTAGCCAGAACTGTACACAATATTCTGACTGCATAGTTTTATCTAAAAGATGGGAGGATGCTGTTTGTTTCTTTTCTTAATAATTTTTACATGAAATGTGCCTTTTTACAGCTACCACATTGACAAACTGAATTCATTATGACCTATCCACCTCAAGCACAAGATCTTTTTCCTGGTTAATCACTGCCAGATGAGGTGTATAGTAGATTGACTGTAAACATATAAAACAGACAGATAGACAATGTTATGATTGCTACGTCTGATATAATTTTATAGCTATATTCAATATTGGTTGTTACTTTGTTTTCTATTTTCCCAGTTTCAGACAAAATTATGGAATAGTGAGAAGAAAACGAGAAACAATTTAATATCTCTCTCTCTCTCTCTCTCACACACACACACACACACACACACACACACACACTGTTGTTTGGAAATAAAATGGAAAACAGGATATGGAGAAACCAAATGGTTCCCACTTGGCAAAGAGATCAGGCAAGGCTGCATCCTTTCACCCTATTTGTTTAACTTGTATGCAGAAAATATCATACAAAGAGCAGGCTTGGACACAGAAGGAGGAGGAGTGAAGATAGGAGGAAGGAATATCAATAATCTGAGATATGCAGATGACACCATACTACTAGCAGAAAATATTGCAAACCTGGAACAACTACTAAGAAAGATCAAAGAAGAAAATGCAAAGGAAGGCTGACTGCTCAACATAAAGAAAACAAAAATAATGATCACGAAAGATTTACACAGATTCAACCTAGACAATAGGGAAACTGAAATAGTAAAAGAGTTCCTGTACCTTGGGTCAAACTTTGATCAGAATGGGAACCACGATCAAGAAATAAGACTAGAAATGGGGAGGGCTGCTAAGAAAGAATTAGAAAAGATCCTAAAATGTAAAGATGTAAACTGAGCACGAAAGTTAGAATCGTACAACCCATTATATTCCCCATCACCATGTATAGTTGCAAGAGCTGGATAGTGAGGAAAGTTGATAGGAGGATTATTAATTTGTTTGAAATGTGGTGCTGGAGAAAATACCATGGACAGCCAAAGAGACAAACAAATGGGGCCTAGAACAGATCAAGCCTGAATTCTCCTTGGAAGCCAAGATGATAAAGTTGAGGTTGTCATTCTTGGGTCATGTTATAAGAAGGAATGACTCATTGGAAAAAACAATAATGCTAGGAAAGGTGGAGTGATGTAGAAAGAGAGGAAGACTGTATGCTAGATAGATGGGCTCTATTAAGGGGTTCACAGACATGAATTTACAGGACTTAAGCAGAGCAGTGGAAGATGTCTCATCCACAGGGTCACCATGAGTCAGGATCTAATCGAGGATGGTTAACAGGAACAACACGATGACAAAGGCCTTCGTCTATGGGTATCTAATTTTCATCTGATTTGAGGTCAACATTTAATTTTTATCTGACATTAGTAAACAGATCACCCAGTATATTGCATGTATACCAAGAACTCTCTTCAGCTTCTTAGATATGAGGAAAATGTGCCTAACACAAGCTGAGACCTGCATGTAACATCATGCACACCATTCATACTGGAACTGCACACCATTCATACTGGAAGCTATAATCACAATCCTTTCCCATTGTAATATTTCACTGACCATAGTGCCTATCTAGGAGGCTGCACAAAGGATTCTAGGGGTTTATTCAAATATGTTGTTTTTTTTTTAGTGTGACTATGCAAAACACATTCAAGGCATGCAGAGTTTTATCCCAGTTTATCTTGGGTCTATTCACATCAGTTATTCACACAGCCAACAATACGAATCTTTTAGGAAAACACGGGGGGCCCCTCCCCCCTAAAAAACTTACTTCTGCATTTGAAATGCATGTGAACTGCAAAGATTCAACCCATTTTACTGATTATTTATACCATCTGAATAACCCCTAGGTTATTGGTTCAAGGGCAGAGAAGAAAAAGTAGACTGGGCTGATGTCCTGAGCGAGAATGGTAGCAGCAGCTGTAGTGAGCAATACAGAAATATGAGAAACTGGGGAAGATCAGATAAGAGTGTGAATAAATAGGGGGCAGTCTGCATGCAGCCACAGCAGGAGTTACTTTTTCTGTTTGACAAAAACATGGTGCCCACAGCACCAGTCACTAGCCCATTTTCTCTATGACGCCACACAGCAGGTTGCAGCAGTTATGCAAGATACTTATTGCTGAGAAGTATTTAGCCTGCTGCTTTCCCAATCTACCTTTTGGTCCACAAGGTTCAAGGGTGTTTTCGTCCCCTTCCTGGCCCATATTCAACCCTGGGCCCATATTCTAGCAACAGTCAGGAATGGGGGACTTTGGGGGGTTGCAGACTGCCAGAAATAGTGCAAACCGAGTCCACTTTTAGGGTTAGGGTTAGGGAATCATGGGGACTGTATTTTATTGTGGCACTAGAGCTCTCTGACAGAGAAGGCTCAATGTCTCAGAAAAAACCCAATTCCCATGATTCCCTAGCACTAACCCTAACCCTTAAAGTGGACTCAATTTGCACTATTTCTGGCAGTCTGCATCCCCCCTTTGTTTTTGTTTTTCCTGATTTGGACATTTTCCTACCAGACAAACAAAGCAAAACTCATTTCTGTACATGCCTACATAGATGTAGGCCCTAATGTCTGCTCAGGAGGCAGCCCCAGTGACATGTTTTCCCAAAGCACAAAACACAAGGATTTGGTGTAGGGAGTCTGCAGTTGTTACTTTTCGGGGAGCCACAAACATAAGCCTAGAGACAAAAGGTACAAGGCTCAGAATTTTACTTGTATCTGTTTTTATTCTGTAAGCCACCTTGAGCCCCACACTTAGGAGAAAAATAATACAAAAAAAAAGTGACTGGTTGACTGATTGAAACAATGTACTGAACCTTCTTAGACTATGCAATGTAATCACACTGGAATTTCCTAACACAAAAGAGATTAAACAGAAAGGATTTTAGGACAGCATCTACTTTGAAAAAAATTTGGTTGGTCAAAGACATTAATCCATAAACATTAGGTGTATCTATTTCTCTCTTAAGAGAAGAGGTCAAAGGCTAGTTCACACCAGTATTTGTGGGAGAGAGCTGTGGTTCATGCACACGCATGCAGACAATGACTATACACTTGTGCTCTTGTACTATGAACAAAGGACAAGATAATTACATCCTGTCTAGCATGCTGATAAGAAAGCCTTAGTGCAAATAATAAGAAGGAATCCTTCTGATTTTATCACAGAATAGCTTGCTCACAAAACAACTGATACTTGAACTAAAAGCATGGGATTCAGCAGCAGGAGTGAATAATACCTTTCTTTCTTTCAATTTCTTTTGTGCTACTTGCATGAATAGCATTTTCTGTAGGGAGATGGTAACTGTGGAAGTACTAGATGCCTCTGAAATCTCTTTCCTTTTTATGTACCAAGGTCAAACATTTTGTTTTTCTTTCTACGCAGGGTGACAGTATGACTGTATAAAATAAAGGCAATACCTTTCTGCTTAGCCTACTTGGTGAACATTATTATTTATCAACAAGTATTGACTGACTGATAAGTGACATACAAAAGTGACAAATATTTCATATGCCTTAACGCAGGGGTCGGCAACCTAAGGCATCCAAAATGGTGCCCGCCACTGTGCACATGCGTGCGCAAGCGCATGGTGGCGGGCGCCATTTTGGATGGCTCCACCGTGGCTGGGCCATGCGAATTCGCATGGTGCAGCTGCGGTGGGGGCTTCCCTGGGCCTTGGCTTCCCAATTCGCATGGCACAGGAGTGGTGGGGCCTTCCAAAATGGCGCCCCCCACGCATGCGGGCATGTGCACAACGGTGGCCGTCATGCGCATGCACGGGGGAGCAAGCGCACGTGCATGTTCACGTGCAAGTGCACGCCCAGCCAGCCAGCCCCTGCGCCATTTCCTCCCCCTCCCGGCAACAAAAGTTGCCGACCCCTGCCTTAACATTTCTAAGTGCTAAAATGCAATTTAGAGATAGTGACCCCTGCCTGCAGCCTCACACAATAATCAAATAAATAAACATGATATAAAAGGCAAAAGGATTGAAGAAGAAAGAAGAAAGCATGCAAAATTCAGGTCCCAATTACATAACACTCAAGTTATGTAACCTAGTTACATAATCTCTACTTGACCAGATGTAGACAAGTGTGGCCTTCCAATTGTTTTCAGCTTTAGACCACAAACATTTGGAAAGCAAAGTTGTCTGTCGTTTCTCAACGTTCACATAACACTTAGCAATTCTGAGAATCTCCCAGTTCTTAGCTCTCTTCTTGAAAGCAAAAGTCAGGGTGTGCTTTCATTCAGCCCTATTCATTAAATAAATCTATTCTATAAAAGGATTTAAAACTATCCTTCATCCTATGATATCAGGATGGCACACAAGAGTCATAGCAAAAACTAAGACAAGTCACAATAAAATATGATAAAACTAAATCAGAATTGTAAGAAGATCAGAGGGAACTAAGCATAACACTTTAAAACGCCCGGCCAAGTAATTTTTAACCTGCTGCCAAAATGGTAGCACCAGTGCCAGTTGAATCAGAGACAGAGAATGGCACCATAGAGAGTGCCTGCTGCCTAATTCCTACACATAAAGCTTCATCTGGCAAAGGAACTTGGAGAAGAGTTTCCTCCAGAGATCTTTGGTATCAACAGTTCAGCGTAGGGAAAGATGGCCAGTTTGCATACCTGTAACTTTAGTTCTTTGGGCAGTCATCTGTGAACTCACACTAATATATTATCCTGTGGCTGTGGAGTGCATCTTTCTGAACCTTCTAGAGCATTACATAAGTGTTTTTGCGGTAGACCCACCCACCTCCAGCATCACTATATAGAAGCCTTCCCTCCAAAAGTACCAGTTCCACGG